GCAGGGGAAACAGAATGTCAGATGGAATTTATGAGTCAGTGTGGCATCTGGGGCTGTTTGTAAAGCCTCCTCCAGAAGCTCGTCATAGGCTTCCCTAGGTGCTGCAGTTCCTTGAGTGTGAAGCAGAGCACCTGGTGTGTGTACTCGCCCAAACTGAATGTCAACAACTTGAGCCAGAGACTGTTTGGGAAAGATAACCTTACCAGGAACTTTCTAGCCATCCTTATGCTTTGGCGGTGTAAAACTGAGTCAGATGCAGTTCCCTTTACACAAAGATAACGATGCACTTGAATCACAATATGAAAAAGGACCTTATATCAGATATAGAGGTGTAGGCTAGACATATTAAAATCCCCAATGTGTGGGTATGAGTTTGCCACAGGCAAGGTAGAGTGAATGCAGTAGAATACACATATTCAGTATCTCTTGCTTTATTTATAAACAGAAATTAAAAGACTTACACACTGCAAGTAAAGCTTGGTAAACACAACGTGCTGTTCCAACAGGTTTTACACGTTTTAATTCGTTTTGTATTTATAACCATTCTGTGAGGTAGTTACAACTTACCACCTTTGATCCTCCCCTGCCCGATCTGTAACGTTTCTATAATCAGGATGACTTTTAAAATCTTTGATTGCATGTCAAAGTTTAATTGATAAAATTTTACTACTGTTATATAAAATAATAATGTGTCTTATAATCAATGTTTGTTCTTAGATTCTTCGAGTTGTGAGTTGAGGTATTATTTACATATTAAAGATGAGTCAAGAGAGGTTAAGTTGCCTAAGGATATTTATTCAGTTAGTGACTAAGGTAGGAGTGAGAACCCAGTAAGTCAGCCTCAAGCCATTATGTTATAGTCTGCCTTTCTGCAGCTTTCTTACATGGTGCTAATGTATAGAAGATGGAGTTGGAAAGCATTTCCAGAGGGACATGGATGAAACATTTAGAAACATTAAAGCAGCCTCACAGTACCAGCAAGAGTCTTCCTATTCTTGTTCTAGTACAGTGACTTTTTCAAAGTAGCGTGTGTAGAACTTCAAATTCTGCCCAGCCTACTTTTTATTACCTGTTTTCTTCTTCCTTAACTCCAGGCTTGCAATCTAAACATGCTTGCACCTTTTATGTATCTCACAATAATTTTATTTTCTGTGCCTGCAATGGTCTTTCTCTCCTGCAAAGAGAGTACAGATTTTTCCTTCAAGGCCTGGTTCAGATGTCACCACTACAGAGGTCAGAATTAGGAGTTCAATGTTTTTACAGCCATTAGTACATACTTACTATGTTGTATTATAATAATTTTTACCTGTCTTCCCCACACAAAACATCCTTGAGCTTCCATGAGTATTTAATTTATCTTTAAATCATCAAAACTTAACACACAGAGCTTAACTTCATAAATAATTAAGAGATAATTAGATTTTTAGAGTTCTTTTTCCTACTGTTTTCCTCCTTGCATTTGGTTCTTCTGCTTTTAATTGAATTTCATGTTCTGATCTCAATTTTAGAAAGTAGGGGTTTTTTTGCATTAATATTATTTCACATAATATACTAGAATGACATTTTTTAAATAATTAAACTTTTAACTATTTTTTCAAAATTTTATCAATCTCTAATATTGTGATTACAAATTTAAAATAATATTTCTGTGACAAAAGGCCAGTATCTATTGCCCTAACAGTTCCAATCTGGATATATTTCAGTTTTTTAATTGATAAAGTTGCTACAAATGCTTTAATTTTGTTGAAATCCGAATTCTTTCTATCAATAGGAGTACTAAATGCAAATGTTAGATAGCACATGTTTTGGAGAAAACTAAGCTCAAGGCTTCAGAAATCAAAGCAAGAAAGAAGTAGCCCTAGATCTCTTAGCCTTTTCTTTCTTTGACTGCTAGGAAAATCCTGATCTGTATGATACCACTTGGAACGAGGCTCTCCTAGCTTGTCTAAAGAAAAATGTAAATGGTGATTTTTCAGCACAAACTAAAATATAACTTGATGGATTTTAAGCAAACAAAGTATTACTAACAGATCATACTGTAAACTTTATGATCTGCAATTTTCATGGTTAGTGGTAAGAAACACACAGCTTTGGTAGTAGGGTGACTCGACTAAATGTGCAGTGTGCCAGAGGTATTCTATCCAAAAGAAAGTATCAACTATGCTTTACTTAGCAAAGCAGGTGTTTTCTTCAGTAGTTACATATTGTTTTTCAGCTTTTTCAAAACATGTTTATCTTTTTACTTATTTTGCTTGCTTTTAGTGTCTTTCTATTATAGAAAAGTCATGCATAAAAACCTGCAATTTTAGATTGGCAAGCCAGAAAGCTTGCTTAAGATAACAGAATGAAGAGTGAGACAACCATTCAAGAAGATAACCTTAGTATTGGAGATAGCTGAAGCAGATCATTCTGTCCCTTTAGTTGCTCGGTAGTGTGTGTGTGTGTGTGTGTGTGGTGTGTGTAGCTTGATTTATCTGAGCATCTTTCATCTCACGCTTGTTGTATTATAAAGTGGTTATCAGAATTATATGAGGCAAATGAAAATAATGACTGGTTTTGTTGTGTTCTTTTGTTTGGGATTTTTCTGAGTAAATTTTGAAAGGAAAATACGCCACCAGCATATATATATCTATATATACACACACACACACACACAAATATATATATACATATACACACATATGTAATACATATAATTTAAAAAGTCAAATTAACTTATTTTACATCTAGGTTTATATTTTTCTTTTTTTTCCCCCCCCCCCCCCCAAAAAAAAAATTTTTTTTCCGCCAGAAAAAGAACTTTTACAGTATGGAATTTTGTAGTTTTCCTTTCTAGATCAGGTTAACTTATTCTGCTGAGAAATATAAAAAGCCAATCTCATCTTTTCAGTTGTCTAGTTAGCAGTTCTTTTACTTTTCTAACAATTCTTCATGTTACTTTACATTATCTCTATCAATGCAGCTTGTATAGTTTCTGTATTTGACAGGACCTTAACTGATATGCAGAGACTATTAAGTTCAGATACAGGCTTATAAAAAAAAAAAACACTTTGCATCATAAAATATTTTAAGAAGAATCATCATCAACTAGCATTCATTAGCAAACTAAGAATTTCTTCCCTGCTGGACCAGTGTGGCTCAGTGGTTGAGCACCAACCCATGAACCAGGAGGTCAGAGTTCAATTCCCAGTCAGGGCACTTGCCCAGGTTGCTGGCCCCATCCCCAATGGAGGGCATGCAGGAGGCGGCCAATCAATGATTCTCTCTCATCATTGATGTTTCTATCTCTTTCTCCCTCTCCCTTCCTCTCTGAAATCAGTAAAAAGATATTTTTTAAAAAAGAAAGTAAGAACTTCCCTGGAAAGACCAGTAGTCTCAAAATTCTGAGTTCACAGTGCTTTTTAGTTAGTGACAACTTCAAATTTGTTTTTCTGTGGAGCTTTTTTGATATGGGCTCATCAAATTAGAGCCATTGTTTCCTATTAACTGAACTACTGAAAAAGAATGTGTGAGTAGTAGTTTTGAAGAGGAAACCAAGAACTTCACATTTTTAAACACAATTTCTGGTATAGGGAAAAACTGGTTATGGTACATCTATCTTCAGAAAATCATATTGATGGTTATCAACATAATTCCACACAGTGAATATTGATCAAGGTGTATTTCTGTTTAGGTTTCTATTAAAAAAACAAAAATCAAATAACTTTATAAAAAGGAGGAGGAAAGAAAAACTCCACAGAATTAATACCTAGTTATTTGCAACTTATAATTTTCTAAGAAATTAAATGTGTTGCTAACTTTTTACTTAGTTTAATAGATGTATTTGAAGAGGTAGAAATGCTATAAATATGGAATTTTCATCCAAATTTTAAACATTTACTATGATTTTGCTGTATGGCCATTATAAGAGAATGCTGTTTTTAGGAAAATAATTATGTGTTCCTAAAGTCCTTTCTTTACTCCTGGATTATTTATATAGCTTAATTTTGTTTTTTGGAACTAGAACTTGCTATTAATAATTGGAAAGAATTAAGAACTGATTATAGTTTCCTTAAAGAGGTGTTATTTAAAAAAAGGTGTCTTTGAAATACAGAAAACCTACACAGACTACATATATAATTGCAAAATTTTAATAATTGATATTCTGCTTTCCTTATCCAGTGTTCCACTGACACAGTAGTGCAGTATTTTCACTTTTTCTTCCTGTTCTATTTTAAAATTTATGACACTGAAGTAACAACACTTTCATTATTATATATACCTATCTTGCATTTGTATTTCCTTTTATCTACATGTTGGCCAGATTAAATAGGTAACTGGATTGAGAGAGAAAAAAGATGTGTTCTATTTAAATACCTTTGGTCTTCCCTATCTACAGTCTGAATGGTTTAGTACAATTCTTGTTCTGTAATATTCCTCTTATCAGATGCCTTGTCCTGAACTTAACTATTTGTAAAACAAATAGTGTGCTGTTGACTATTAATAAAGAACTCAAAATTAAATTAAATAATACATATATTTTATTATAACCCCACAGTTAATCTAAACATCTCATTTTTCCCTCATCCATTTGACATATTTGAACTTTTTAAATGCCTCCAACCCCCTTATTAACTCCTTCACTCATTTAAATTAATGTACAGTAAAATGGCCAAAGGAAGAAGAGTGACCACCTGTCCCAGTTTACATAGGACTGGAGGATTTCCCAGTTGTGGAACTTTCTGTGTAAAACTCACAGTCTCAACCCTACTGGGAGGAATTGGTTGGTCATCCTAAAGGAAGGCAAGAGATATCAAGAGAAGTAGAGAGGCTGAATGTTAATAACAGTTAAAACTGCAATGTGTTACTGATACTGATGTGGCTAGTTTTAAGTCTTATCTTTGTAAGATTGTAAAAGTTTTAGTAAGCTTTTTAAGAGGTTCCTGAATATGTCTCTTTCTCTGTTCACACGTTTACAGAATAGGGGTAGCATACTCACAGGGAAGTTGTGGAAATCAGAGAGTAGATTTATAATATTTCTCGATATTAACTAGGTTTCCAAATATGCTAATGCACTATGTATTACAATAGTCGAGTAGTAAAAGTCATTTCTAAAGTCTTCTCTTTTATTTCTTAAACTTTTCTTTCCCTATTAGAAGTAGGAGTGATAAACAGATACAAAGGCTGGTTTGTGACTGAGATGATGTCCCCACAAAGAAAACCTGAAGCAGAAGGAACTGCCAAAGCAGTGAATGTAGCATTTAGGAGTTAGGGAGTCTCGATATTTATTATGTTTCTTGTGGGTGAGTAATATGCACCTAGAATGTATAGCGAGGCATAAAGACTGTATTTTCTCATCTCAAAGAGCTTACATGGGGTCAGATAACCAACATATAAAAATTTAACTATTGTTTCCAATATTGTTGTGTTTCATAGGCAATGATTCATGTGAGTACCTTCTTTCAAGTGGCAGATTTCTTGGAGAGAAAGTTTGGCAGCCTCATAGTTGTATGATGCATAAATACAAATACAAGTAAGATTTCTCCATTTTGTTGTTTTTTTTCCTATGATGGGTTGTAATATTTAATGGACAAGGGTTGGTGAAACAAAGAAAGTACTATATGGTACTTCTATATATGATGGTAAGAATTGCTGAAGGAGGGTAGGAGTAGAAGTGAGAGTCCAAATGAAGATTCCTCCCCAAGAGAGAGCTTTGGCCAAGCTGCTTTATCTCAGGTAAGAGATAAGCAGACCCAAGGCAATAGCCCTGGAGAAAAGGACTTTTGCTTTGGGAGTTGGGTAGCTACCGCATAGACTTATCCTATATAATAAAAACCTAATATGCAAATCGACTGAACAGCAAAACGACCGGTTGCTATGACACGCACTGACCACCAAGGGGCAGACACTCAATGCAGGAGCTGCCCGCAGGCCCCAGGCCAGCCAAAGCCGGTGCCAGCAGGAGGTCCCCCTATTTGCCCTGCTGGTCACCCTGCAGAGGGACAGGGCAGCGGCAGGGGGTAGGGACAGCAAGTGTGTGGCGCCAGGCCAGCCAAAGTGGGTGCCAGCCCCACAATCACCCCACAGATTCGCCCTGATCGCTGGTCAGGCCTAGGGAACCTACCTGTGCACGAATTTCGTGCACCGGGCCTCTAGTTCTGAAATAATGGATATAAAACTCTTAATATGGTTAGAGTTCATCTTAAACACTTAATAAATTGGGGCTGTTATTATTGAGAGTTAGTTGATCATACAGGAACTGGTAGGTTAAACAAACATGGCCACCTATTTTAAAAGCAAAGTAGTAATTATATGTATAACAATCCTGTACTACTTTCTTCACAAACTATGTGCTTTGAAGTGCCAATATGCTGATTTTATTTATTTTAATTAATGTTTCTTTGTTGATTTCAGTGAAGCAAAGAACTGCCTTGTAGATAAACATATTGCATTTATTGGAGATTCCAGAATTCGTCAATTGTTTTATTCATTTGTAAAAATAATTAATCCTCAGTTCAAAGAAGAAGGCAATAAGGTAAAAATTGTCTGTTCTCTTCATTAGGGTATTGTGTTAGAAGTTAACCAACTGAATAGTTTTAGGAAGAATGTGCCTCTCCACATTAATGCAAGGAACTATAAAAGCTTTACTTTGGTTTTGGAAAGGTAAAGGAAAAAGAAACGATGATTTGCTATAATGGGCAGCATAAGAAAAAGAAGTGGTGGGTATTGGCAAGCCTTTCATTAACTTAAATTTTTAGTTTTCAGAAATAAATTCTTTCCATGGAAAAAAATTTTCCAAATTTCTTAGGAGGAAAACAAAGAAAATATCTTTATTCTCCTTTTAATATTTGTCATATTTCTTTCCGTCTCTTTAAAAAACAACACACACATCTTTATTGTTGAAAGTATTACATATGTCCTCCTTTTTTCACCATTGACTCCTTCTAACCCTCACAGCCCCCCATCCAGGCCTTCACCACACTGTTATCTGTGTCCATGGGTTATGCATATAATACATACAAGTTCTTTGGTTGATCACATCCCACCCACCCCCACATTCCCTCTGAGATTCAGTCTCTTTTTTAAAACATAATTGTAATCTAGCATGTACAGTTTTATGTCTCACTTCTTTCCCCACCACTTGTCATAATTCACCATATTATTATATAATCAATATAAGTATCTTCATAGTGTGAACAAATTATTGAGTGGATATAATGCATATTTATATAATCTTCCCTTTTCTTAACTTTTTTGTAGTTTTCTATTTTTTATTTTGCAATTTTAAAAAAGGACATTTTAAATTAAATCTTTATGTGAAAACTTTGCTTTTTAATTTATTTCCTTAGGATAGGATCTCTGTCATGCAAATATTAGGTTAAAGAATATCAATACTTTAAAAATTATTGATTATATTGTTAAACTCTTTCAGTTTATAACATAAGCAATGTATAATTAAAACAACAATGTAACAACAAATTCATGATCTTTATATAAAAAAAAAGTCTTATTTTTAAAATAGAATATGTAGGCATTCTTCTAGGAGAATATGTATGTGTGTGTCTCTGAAAACTAACAAGTATGAACATCTCTCTTTATGTTTGTTAATAATTAATTAGTTAATTTTTTGTTAACTATCTCATCATGTTATTTTGTTTATCCATTTTTAAGTGATCCAAGGTTCTAATCCCTGTCTTCAACTGCATATGATTGGGAGTGGGGAATGGCAAGGAGAGAAAAGTGAAGTACAAGAAAGTTCAGAATTACAGGGGAAATATCTTATGAATTTATGATGAAAATCTGCCTGTATACATCAACTTGCCCTGTGTTAAGGAGTTGAAAAATTAGGGACTTCACAAGTAACTAGAGCTAGACATATAGTGATGATGGTAGTGGATACTAAATTTTAGAAACAATTTCTTATGAGAAGAATCCTTAGGCTATTAGAGGTTTTGTCCACCAAAAAAGACTAGTAGAGATTTTAAAGCTGAATAATAGAAAATTATAAAGTCAACTTTTCATTTTATTTGGTATCTATAAATGTAGCCTCTTTTTGTGTTTATACACACAAAATTATACAGAAGAATTGGAACTATTTAATGACATGAAATTATCACAGTTTAAACTAAAACACTTTGGTAAACTTATAAAAAGTAGAGAGATTTTGCTTGACCAATTGAGGGCCGATCCAAGAACCAGGAGATCAGGGTTAGATTCCTGGTCAGGGTTACTGGCTCAGTCCCCAGTAGGGGGCTTGCAGGAGGCAACTAATTGATGATTCTCTCTCATCATTGATGTTTCTATCTCTTTTTCCTTGCTCTCTGAAATCAATAAAAAAAAATACTTTTTAAAAGTAGAGAGATTTCTGATTTCGGAGAAACAGTTTTAATATTTCTAGGCTTAGTATATTGTGACTTTCTGAAAACTGGAATAATGGATTTGGCAACAGTTAATTGAAAAACGCTCTAATGGTTTAGTTGGCGACCACTGCTCCAAAGGTTTCCTTAAACCAGCGGTCGCCAACCTTTCTGATGTCAAGGACCACCAGTGGTCTGCAGACCACCAGTTGGCAACCGCTGGATAGCCAAAAGTAGGTACAATATGGTACATTTCTTCTGAGCCCTAGTTATAACACCTAGGTTTCCAATTTTTATTTTCTAAGGCACATTGTTATCTCACAATTCTCAAGCAAGATATATTTAAATTTATATGCATTAAAAAAAAAAAAGACAGTTTGTCACAGTCTTAAAGAGGCAGCTATTAAGAAACTGTTTAGTTCAAACTGCTAGTGGAGCATTTGCCAAATTGTGTTTCACTTAGTTCTCTGGTCTCTGAACAACTTGAAGACAGAGATCATTATTTTTTAAAGTTCTTGTGCCTAGCACATCCTGGCATATTATAAAAGCTGATTATCATCATCATTATTTTAGCTTTGGTATGGGTTTGGGTAGAGTAGGAGTGTTGAAGATAATTCTTTGAATATGTTTCTTTTCTGTGTTGAGAAAAATAATTTTTTTAAAAGAAACTTTATAGAGCAGGACTTTTATCAAATTATATTTTGTGGAAGATAAATTCTTTAAGGTGCTCCGGTCAAATAAGTTTGGACAGAGCTGGGTATCATATCCCCCTCTTAGATGGTTTTAATTTAGGTGAGGATATTAAAAGCTTGAGAAGTCTTACAGTAAAGAAAACTGCTTGCATTCCTTCCAGCTGGCAGCTAGGTACTGGGGGCCCCTTCTACCTCAAACCAACTAAATCCTAGATTTAAAAAAAACCCCACTGGTGTTGTATTTCTAGATTTTAAGAAATGGAAGACACTCCCTAAAAAGGAACACCTATGAGGCAAAACCAGAGATGGGAACAATAACAGTAGGCACTCAATAGAGACTTGGATTGCCCTGAAGACAGATGCCAGTAGCTGCAATGCCCAGTATGCAGAACACTAAGCTTTGGGCCAACATATTTCTCAGTATTAATATTGGAAGCCAGAGAACAGTGGAATAATAGCTTTAATATTCTGAGAGAAAATAAGTTTCAATGTAGAATTGTATACCTACCATACAGATTTATCTGTTGTTGAAATATAGGACATTATCAGATACATAAAAACTGTGAGGGTTTGTCTAAAAATTTTCTAAAGGATAAACTTCCGGGAGGATGGAAATGGAAATATATTTTTTTAAATGATGTGAAATATAAGAAACAGTACTTAAAGAAAAATTAAACATGCGTGTAAGCTTACTCAAATAGTGCCTGTATAAAATAATAATGTCTATAAAAAGAAGGTACTAAAGAATTGGCCAATAATCGCTTATAAGCCAGAGGGAGATTATCACAAGCAAAATATTCTAATGTCCTCTTTACTCTTTAAGTTATTATCTTATGGTAGAACTTAACTTAAAGATAAATAGTAAAACTTTAAGAGCAAAGATTAAAAGGATAGAATTAGGATGTATAAATTCCAAATCAGCAGAAGAAAAACTAAACAAAACCAAACATATCTAATGTGCCAAATGTGTTTTATACATACAGTGGGGCCTTGACTTAGGAGTTTAATTCGTTCCGAGACCGAGCTCGTTAAGGAGCTCGTTAACTCAAATTACTCTATCAACTCAATGCAAAAAATCGGCGGAGAGACAGCTGGTATCTCAAAAACCTGGTTATTTGGGACACTCGTAAGTCAAGGTCCCACTGTACATACATATATAATTGTACATGTACATAAATATACAAAAAATTTAGATGTACATGCAAAAGTTTGTGTTTATATATATTATATGTATATGAAAAATCTATATGTGAAGAAGCTGTAAATTTTATATCAACTTGTCAGGAATATAGAGTTCAAAAACTATTTAAAATATATTACATGCACTATTAGACTGGTAGAATAATCATTTACATAAAGCATTGAAAAAATATTTTGTATTTTCATAGTGGATGAATCTTCTTAATTTCTTAAATGAAAATTATAACTACATGCTCTATTTAGCTGAAGGACTTTCTAAGAACTCACTTAGGAATAGAAATACAGTGTCCTGGCAGGTGTGGCTGAGTTGTGTGGGTGTCATCCATGTACTAAGAGGTCGCTGGTTGGATTCCTGGTCAGGGCACATGCCCAGGTTTCAGGCTCCCTATATGCACAACTTCCCTCACTACCAGTCTGTCTCTGGCATAGATAGTACTAGGACTAAATTGGAATCATGGCAAGCTTGGCAAAAGATAATGTATATAAGCATGTTCATATATATGTTGCTTGTTTGTAGTTAAGTTTTATCTTTGAACTACATCTTTGATGTGGAAAATCACATATAAACAATTTAGCTAGTGTCACTTACTTTTTTGGTATTCTATGAGATCTTTTCCCCTTGAGGTTGAATATAGAGAATTGAGATGTGATGCATAAGTAAATCAACAAAAACAGCTGAAGGGAGAATTATTTACATAAAATTTCTACATTAGTATTGCTTTGTTGTCTCCTTTTTTTATGGCAGCATGAAAACATTCCTTTTGAAGACAAGATTGCATCAGTTAAAGTGGTAAGTTCATATAATAGTAAGGTAAATGTTATAATGTCAAAACTGTATTCATTGGTTAATTTATTTACCGCAGCTAATACTTTGTACATACTATTTTAGTCTATTGAGAGTAGATAACATAATTGAGTAAATGTTTATGTGTACTGTTTTGTGTAATAAAATAGAAAATTTGGTCTTTCAGATTTTTATCCAGAAAAAAAAATAATCTTATACATTAATTTGAAATCAGTATGTGTTCAAGATTAATGTCCATCAAAGAATATATGTGAATTTTCTGAATTTCCAGTCACAGTGACTCCTAGATATTGAAAATATAATGAGGATCAAGAAAACAATATCCTAGGACCTAGACCAGTGGGACTTGCAAATCATTATAGTTCTTTACATACAAATAAATGTGGGATAAGGATGTCAAAAAGGAAAAAGTGGGACATTAGTAATGTACAGAGCAAGAAGTTAAAAGTAGTTTTTCTTTTTGAGGAAGTGATGTTTTAACAGGCCTCAAAGATTAGTAAGAGCGTGTGAAGCTCAGTGTAAGAGTTTATGCACCTTTTAGGCAGAAGGAACTGTATGTGCAAAGGCCTGGAGAAAGTGAGCACAGAGAGCATTCCAGGAGCTGAATGAGAGCTGAAAGGGTATGTAGAACCAGGGGGAAGGTAGCAAGAGAAAAGGCACAATGTCTAGGCAGAGGCCAGATTTTGTACTTTCTTACCTACTTTAAGGACTTAAATTTATTTTGAAGCCAGTTGAAATTCCTGGAATATTTAAGCAGGAATGGGGCAAGATCACATTTTAAATTTTCAAAAGATTACTCTCACTAAAATGTGGAAAATAGTTCGGAGAAAAGCAACAGTGAATACAGGGAAATCTGTGTAAAACTCTTGCCAGATTGATATGGGAGATGAAGATGTCATAGACAAGGTGGTGTTTTTGGTTTTTGGGTTTTTTTGTAGCTGGAGATAGATTTAATAAGGAAATGAATTACATGTGTTGTACATATCTTTTAAATAAAGTCCATTTGGCTTTAGTTTTTGAGCTTTGTCTTACGGTACATTTATTTTTAGAAGTTTTTAGTAATTTTTTTTCTATTACAGTTTACTGTCAAGATTATTTTGTGTTGGTTTCAGGTATACAACATAGTGGTTAGACAGTCATATACTTTACATTGTGTTCTCCCAATATTCCCAATACCCACCTAGCACTATACATAATTATTACAGTATTGTTGCCTATGTTTCCTATGCTGTATTTATATCCATGACTATTTGGTACTTCTTAAACCAACAAGGTGGTGTTTTACTTTTAAATACCTTGTAAGAGATATATTAATCCTTATTTTGAATGGTGGGTATAACATTTCTTTAACTTTCTCTTTTCTTACATTTCTCTTAGGATTTTCTGTGGCATCCAGAAGTTAATGGTTCTATGAAACAGTGTATCAAAGTGTGGGCTGAGGTCTGTATTTGAAAATGTAGCTCTTTCTAGTTTTGAACAACAAAATTTTATTTTTTAAAGAATAGTTTATTGATTTTTAGAGAGAAAGGAGGAGAGAAAGAGAAGCATGGATGTGAGAGCTCAACATCAATCAGCTTGCACAACCAAATTTTTAAAGTTCATGAGCATCCATTGTTTTCTCCCCTTACTCAGCTGTCCCACTCTCCTATACTTTATACAACCTTGTTGATAGCAACTAAGCTGTGCTGGATTGCTTCTCTTACTTAACTGAGAAAAGAAAGTATTTTGATGTAGTATCTCTTCTATCACCATTCTAACCCTAAGGCGGTAACTGCTGTAGCTCAGTTAATTCAAATCCAGGTAATCTTTCTATCACAATGCACATCCCTTTGAGCGTTTTTCCACTTTTTCCTTTAAACTCATGCCCAAATATGTCAATAGGCTGTTTTCTTCCCTTTTATCATTACATTTGTGACCCAAAAGTCAAGCCTAGTATGCTTTGGCTCATTATGTTCAGAGGTGAATTAGATGTAAAGGCAGGCATGAAAATATAGTGGGGTAGCAGTGGGAAATGAGACTAAATTGTGAAGAAACCAGCAATTTAAAGTGAATTCTATAGGTGAATGGTAGTCATTAAGAAGTCTGAGCTATTTAGATCGATTTGGGGAGTTTTGCTATGGAGTGAGGTGGTATTGGAAGAAATTGAATAGGCAGAGAATTTAGAAATTAACGAAGAGAGTTTAAGAACAACTGTACAAAAGATTCTGAGAAGGGGGAGTGAAAGGGGTAAGAGGAAAAGCAGGAGAAGAATAACTGTCATGTAACACAGGAAAGAGTTTTAAGAAGTGGATGGTCAGTGGTGTCACTTTAGGACTTGGCAATCCAGAGTTCATTAATGAGCTCTTAGGGCAGTTTTAATGGATGGTGAAGCCCCAAATCAAAACATGATAAATTGAGGCATAAATGAGAGAGAAAGAAATCGGCATAGTGAAGGCATAATGCTCTTTCAAGTAATCTGTTGGTTAAGGGTGTGAGGGGGAAGAATTTGAGAATGAGATAAGGTTGAAGGAAAAATCTTTTCTGAGAATGATAATTTAGAGATTGAGAGAAGGCAGAAGAGTGGAGAAAGGGGATGAAACTTATAATAGGAGAGTTAAAGGAAGTAATACATGGATACAGTCCCAGAAGTAAAAAGGAAGGGGATAGAGACAGAGTAAAGGTTAGCCATTAGAAGGAATTGGGCAGATTTTCTTTACTCTCTTGTCAGAGGAAGATAGGCTGGGTGAGTATATGGATGAAGTTGTAAAAATGGAGAAAGGCAAGAACATACAGCTAGATGAAGTCTATTTTCTCTTCAAAATTTGAGAATTAGACTTTATTTGGAAAGTGAAGAGGATGATAAAAGGGACCTGTATAAGGCAAGTAAGTAAGATTTGGGATTACCACTGTGAACAATGAGAAAAGGGATGAGGGAAAAGTTTCAGTAAAATAACATGGTAAAATGAAGCACTATGTTCTTTTCTCTAAGTTAGCACAGTTTAATATAGATTCTTGCCACCAGTCAGATAGGCTGGAAGACATTATACATATCTTGTAAAACAAAGGTACTTACTCAGAAAGGTTGGTTAAGGGTGCTAGACCAGAAACAAATATCTCTGAAGGGAAATAGGTTAATTTTGTTATTTTTCTCTGCTTTCATAGTTTTCTATGAAAGTATGTATTATCTTTATAATGAGACACTAACTCATTTTTATATTTGTGTCAGATATGTTTCTAATTTCTTATTTTTAATTGTTTCTTGTGCACATGGTTGTAATATCAAGTCTTTTATATTTTGGGAAGTGCATTGAACTCAGGAGTCAAAAGACTTAAGTTCTGGCTTTGTCCTGTCAAGCTTCAGCAATACCCTATAAACCTTTCTGAGTCAGTACCCTTGTTTTATAAGATCTGTATAATATATTCCTGCATTATCTCACAGGTAGCAAGAATCTATATTAAAAAGAACTAATTTAAGAGAAAGTACTACATAGTTGGTAGTTTATTAAGAGTACAATTTGCATTTGGTAAAGATTTCTACCCAATTTCTCCTCTCCACCCCCCCCCGCCCCCCACATTGTGGTCTATAATAATTATCAGTTTATTTTGTTAAATATTTATTGGATTTGGCTTCCCCAAAATATTGATTCTTTAGGACACTGATCTTATTTTATTTAAGATTTAAACTGTATTTCATGAATATTTTTTAATTGACTGACATAATATACTAGAGCTTTACTCTTGAGCAATTTACTCACTATTCAGAATAATATTAGACCATATTAGATATCAGTAGCATTTTTTGTTTTTTTGTAAGGAACACCAAAGAATTATCCATAAAAGCCTCATGCTATCCTATATAAAAGGCATTGGTTATCCATCCTATATAATAAAACTCTAATATGCAAATTGACCAAACTGCGGGACGACCTGTGGAATGACTGGTCACTATGACGTGTACTGACCACCAGGGGGGCAGATGCTCAACACAGGAGCTGCCCCCTGGTGGTCAGTGCACTCCCGCAGGGGGAGTGCCACTCAGCCAGAAGCCAGGCTCACGGCTGGTGAGCGCAGCAGCAGTGATGGGAGCCTCTCCCGCCTCCGCTGCTGGCATGCAGTAAGGAGCGAGGGGTCCCAGACTGTGAGAGCCCCAGACTGCGAGAGGGATGTCCCGGACTGCGAGAGGGCGCAGGCTGGGCTGAGGGATGCACGCGCACACACACACACACACACACAGACTGCACGAATTTTGTGCACCAGGCCTCTAGTCTTGTTATAACAAGAATTCAGTAAGAAACTCTAGAATATTAAAATGCATTTAGAAGAAAGAATTTCTTAAATTTAAGGAAAAGAATTAAGTGATGTTAGTTGTATTAATTCTCTGAACTAACTATAACACTATTATAAAAACATTTTTTTTTCTGTAGGATTCTGTTGCAAAGCCCCATGTGATTGTAGCAGGAGCTGCCACAGTAAGTTATTATCTATGTTCTTATATAATGGTTTTCATTTCGTACTTAAGGACATACTAAGAAAAAGTTAACTTATGTTAAATAAAATTCTTGATTGTACTTAAATTTTAATTCCTATTTCTATTCTAATTAATGAGACTGATGAATTTTAATGAAAAGATATGGATGAACTTAGAAAACTTAGTGTTAAATGTCAATACTATTTTATATCTAAAATGATATTCTTCTTGAATGTAATACATTGAAAGTCTAATTTTATGTCCACTTTTTCAAACTGTCTTCATATATTTCATGAAATAATGTGACCATAATTTATTCTGATATTGAATAAAAATGGAAATTATCTTAAAATAATAACCTTTGTTACAATGGAGTAAATTATATACTTTAATTTTTCAGTGATAAGTAATGAATTAATGCTTAATTTTTACTTCATTTTAGTGGTCTATCAAGATTCACAATGGCAGCAACGAAGCACTGTCTCAATATAAAATGAACATTACCTCCATAGCACCACTTCTAGAAAAATTGGCAAAGACTAGTGATGTTTATTGGGTCTTACAAGGTAAGGGATGAGTAATGAAAAAATGTCATTTTGTATATATTTTGAGTCATGGGTTTTTATTATCTCCTATTTCAAGAAGCAAAATTATTGCTTTATGGGAATGAAGTTTGAAATAAGATTTTCAAAATTAGAATAAATTTGAGTTATTTGCTCTTTCCTCTTTTGAACTTAAGGAACAGACTAATAAATATAAGTAAAAAAAATAATAATAAATAAAAATACTCTCCAAGGAGCCACAGCAGGCAGAATGGCTGTGAATATAACAAAAAGAATATATTCTAAAGGCAAATGAGAAGTTTACCTCTGATTTTTTACTTCTTACAAAGTATATTTATTGTGATTGGGAAATATAAGAAAAAATTTACTAAGTCTGTTTCATAATATTGAGTCATTGTACGTAAATACTCTTTGGAATTGACAGAATATATTTAAATTCATACCATCTAGGTTATGCTTGGTAATGAAATTCTTTAAGAGAAAATTGACATTAGATCAACTCATTTCAGGAGTTTATTGAATGTCCATTATTTAATGCCTAGCACAATATGAAATGCCTTGGGTTTTTTAGCAATTCAAGTTGTTTGTCAGAAACTCTTATGATTATTTCCAAGTTGAATGTCAAGCTGAGAAGAATAAAAGGGCTGGTGATAATCTGTTTCACAATCTCTATTTACAGCCTCATTGTTAACCTTTCTCTCACCAAAATGAGAAAAAAGTTAAATTTAAATTATTTATGAGAACTTGATCTTCAATAATATAACCTCTTAATTGTGTGAACAAAATTTACAAATTAAGCAGTGACAGAAGAAATAAAAGACTGTCTGCTATTCTTCATCAGGCAGTTTTCTACAACCCAGTTTTAAATTCCCGTTACCCAATATAACCCAGTATTCCAAAACTTTAAACTCCTAAGACATGCCAGAACATAAAATGAGGAAGACATTGACTGATTAATTTAAAAACTGAATGTAAGATAAGTCTATTGCAAATCTTGGCCAACTTTACTTTAAAATAAATTACTAGATGCCTGGAATCCTCTGAACTTTAACAACAAAACATGAAATACAATCAGCTAACTTGCATGATCACAATTTCTACAAGATTTTTTTAATGTGTTTTTTTTTCTTTTTTATTGAATTTATTGGGGTGACACTGGTTAACAAAATTATATAGATTTCAGGTGCACAATTCTACAGCACATCATCTGTACACTGTATTGTGTGTTCACCATCCCCACTCAAGTCTCCTCCATCACCATTTATTTATCCCCCCAATATTCTCTTCTCTCCCCACTACTCTTTCCCCCAGCATTCACCATACTGTTATCCGTGTCCATAAGTTTTTCTTTTTATTTTTTGCTCAATCCTTCCAGCCCCCAGCAGCTCCCTCCCTGACAGCTGTCAGCCTGCTCTCTGTCTATGAGTCTCTCTATCTTGCTTGTTAGTTCATTTTGTTCATTAGATTCCACTTATGAGTGAAATTATATGGTACTTGTCTTTCTAATGCTCTCCAGGTCCATCCATGTTGTTGCAAAGGGTAAGATTTCCTTCTTTTTTACAGCCAAGTAATATTCCGCTGTGTAAATGTACCACAGCTTTTTTATCCACTCATCTACTGGATGGACAATTGGGCTGCTTCCAAATCTTGGCTATTGTAAACAACGCTGCTATGAACATAGGGGTGCATATATTTTTTCGAATTAATGTCTTGGGTTTATTCAGATAAATTCCCAGAAGTAGAACCACTGGGTCATAAGGCAGTTCCATTTTTAAGTTTTTCAGGTAACTTAATTGTTTTCCACAGTGGCTGCACCAATCTGCATTCCCTCCAACACTGCAGGAGGGTTCCCTTTCTCTACATCCTTGCCAGCACTTATTGTTTGTTGAGTTATTGATAGCCATTCTGACTGGTGTGAGGTGACATTTCTTTTCGGTTTTAATTTGCATTTCTCTGATGATTAGTGATGTTGAGCATCTTTTCATACGTCTACTAGCCATTTGTATGTCTTCTGGAGAAGTGTCTATTCGTGTCCTCTGCCCATTTTTAGTTGTATTGTTTATTTGTGTGGTGTTGAATTTAAGTTCTTTATAAATTTTGGATATTAACCCCTTATCTCTTATTATATCATTGCGAATATGTTCTCCTGTGCAGTGTTTTGTCTTTTCATTTTGTTGATGGTTTCCTTTGCTGTGCAAAAACTTTTTAGTTTGATGTAGTCCCATGTGTTTATTTTTTCTTTTGTTTCCCTTCCCCCAAGGTGATATATCAGAAAAAAAAATATATTGCTATGAGAAATGTCTGAGATTTTTACTGCCTATGTTTTCTTCTAGGATTGTTATGGTTTTAAGTTTATCATTTAAGTATTTGATCCATTTTGAGTTTATTCTGTGTATGGTATAAGAAGTTGGTCTAATTTCATTTATTTGCACATATCTGTCCAGTATTTCCAACATTTGTGTTTTTAATAATGTGTTTCATGTGCAGATCCTGTTTATGAAGATCTATTAAGTGAAAATAGGAAAATGATCACTAATGAGAAGATAGATGCTTACAATGAAGCTGCAGTCAGTGTTTTGAATAGTAGCACCAGAAATTCTAAATCACATGTTAAGATGTTCAGTGTTTCCAAATTAATTGCTCAAGAAACTATCATGGAATCTTTGGATGGCTTACATCTTCCAGAATCAAGCAGAGAAACTGTAAGAATTCTTGTATCCATCAGTAAATAGAGACTATAATATCTAATTGTATAGTAACTGTATGTCACTATAAATGGTAATAAATAATTTATTTTATTGCAGTCTTAATTACTTGTAGTTATTCTACCTAAACATACATCTAGAAATAATTTTGATTTCATCACCTAGCTGTGTATAAAATGAGAGTTTTTGTGTACTCTGAAAGGGAAAGAAGCTATGGAAAGGAAGAAATGAAACTTCATTTATTAAGTGCTAGTCACTCTTACTATACTTTGTCTAATCAAGAAGCTTATAAGTTTGTAGAATACTCATGTTTGAAAACTACAGCTTAATGGTCCTGCCTTAAACTAACAAGATTAAGCCTCTATGAAGAGTACATTTTTTAATATGTAGAATAGTTTTGATTTATTTCCTTATAAATAAATCAGATTTCCTTTGATGCCCTAAACACTATTCAATGTACATAGTAAACACTGAAAAAAATCCAGATTGACAGATGTAAAGGGTTGTTAAGTTCAATATGAAAGAGAACTGATAATTATGAATTTTCATAATTAGTACAACAGATATTATTTAGTTATTGTTTTCTTATAAAGCAGTGTGCTTAACCTTTTTGAGGATCACATAACCCCTTTGAGTGTTCAGTAAAAAGCAATGGTTACATTCCTCTCCTGCAGAAAAATGCATGTTTGTATATATACACACGATTCTCCATATACTTTTAAGGGGCTTTTGAACCGCCTAGAACTGGTTAAGAACTTCGGGATGGAGTTTGTAGGCTAGTATCTGCAAGAGTACCAGACACAGAACCCAGGGCTAAAAGGGTGATATTTCCTATGTAGTTGAGTACTTTGAATGCTTAGGCTTAAATAATATAATCATCTTAGAGTTCCAATTATGTCTAAACTATAAAGTTTTTTAAAAACTATATTTGACTGAACCTTCAACTAGACAAGATCTTGATAGCTTGCCTAGAATATTTTTATTATAACGAAATCATGTTCAAGATGCCACATGTTACTTAACATTAGAAATCTTAAAAATGTAGAATCCTAAGTGGCCCATAAACTGTAAACCAAATGAAAGGCATATTACAAATATTGTTTGCTAAGAATTATTTTTGTGACAGTTATTTTACATTCTTTTTTTTTTTTTACATCTAAAAACTAGAACTCTATATTAAGTGTCCTGGTATCTTCTATATTGAAAGGCTGATAATTAAAATTCTTTGATTTTTGACATTAGTCATTATTTTTTTTTAATCTTTATTGTTGGAAGTTTTACATATGTCCCCCCCCCCCCCCCCCATTGCCCCTTCTAGCTCACCCCAGGCCTTCAACACACTATTGTAAAAGCCACAACCCATTAGCAGTCATGAAATTAGTTTTTTGTGTTTTTATTTTTCGTAAGAAAAAATAATACAAAAATGTAAGAGTGCATTATAAGTAGTAAGGGTAGGTATTGTTTCTGTATATGTGTCTGGATCATATTATAAAATGAATTTTTCAATACAGACCATAGCCCCAGAAGTTTGAAAAGCCCTGTACTAGCTATTACAGATTGAAGGAATAGCATTATTTGCATGAGTGGTTGGGAAATGGTAGTAAAAAGTACAAAAGCATTTTTGGTTTCAGTGCTGAAAAATTAGTAGTATTCACAGGAGAAAATCTAATGTGAAATATATTACTGACAAGATAATAACCAAATAACTTGATTTGTTCACAGAGTGCAATGATTCTTATGAACGTGTATTGCAATAAGATACTGAAGCCTGTAGATGGTTCCTGTTGTCAGCCTCGGCCTCCTCTGACTCTCATGCAGAAGCTAGCTGCTTGTTTTTTCACCTTATCTATTGTCGGATATTTAATTTTTTATATAATTTATCGTAATGCTCATCGGAAGAATAAGCCATGTACTGATTTGGAAAGTGGAGAGGAAAAGAAAAATATTATCAATACCCCTGTGTCTCCATTAGAAATACTTTTACAATCTTTGTGCAAACTTGGCCTGATTATGGCTTATTTCTATATGTGTGACCGTGCAAATCTATTTATGAAGGAAAACAAATTTTATACACATTCAACTTTCTTTATTCCAATTATCTATATCTTGGTTTTGGGAGTATTTTACAATGAAAACACTAAAGAGGTAAGAGTTGTTTTCTTTTTAGCTCATGTTATCCTTATTTCATTATAAACTCTAGATTTTAAAAATAAATACCATTTATCATGCCAAAATATACAAGCATGTATATTGGAGAGGATAAATGAATGTTGTGGTTATACTTCACTTAGCAGACTCTGTTGCTTTTTGAAACATTTTGGAGGAAGTTCAAAGAGTTTCGTGAAGATTGTTAAGAAGTTGAAAATAATGACCTGTGAAAAAATGTCATGACTTTGTGTTATTTTGCCTGCATGGGGATGGAGAAAGTGCAGCTGCTTCCAATTTTATAATGGTCTTCGAACATGATACATCAGAGCAAAAATATATAATTTTATTAATAAGTGCCTATATGCACAAACATTTTATATTAATACAATCAGACATGTACACACAAATTAGAACTTACATAATGTGGGCAAATGTTTATAATATCTGAAGTACCTATTTTAGCATTTCTGTAGTTGCTCAGAATGTTAGTATAATTCCATTATAAGACATTATTTATTTGAATTAATAAATTCTATTGTAAGAAATAACTCATATGAGAATGATTAATCGGTTCTTCATTTCCGGTGAGAATATTCTAAGGGAATATTCTCCCCCCCCCCCCCATTAAAGTGTAAGAGAACTGTAAGATATTTTTTAACTGAAATCTTAAGACTTTCTTAAAATTAGAAAATGCTATTTTTTAGATTTATAAACCATTGTCATAGTTTAATGTACTCTTAATATAAAACCATAGGTATCAACTTAAACACTATTTAAAATCTGTTAGTTTATATTAGTTTTCAAATTCATATTCTATCTTTTATCAAGAAATAAAATGACTATTTTTAATTTCCCCCCACAAATTCTTTTAACAAAAGCGTTAGCTTTATATCCTATAAGAATAATTTTAACATACTTAGTATAAATTGTCCAAATAATAGCTTCATGGTGAAATTTGAAACAGATTTTGGTTCTTTACACAGACTAAAGTATTAAATAGAGAACAAACAGATGAATGGAAAGGCTGGATGCAACTTGTGATTTTGATTTATCATATCTCTGGAGCAAGTACTGTAAGTATATTGAAATTCAGAAAATATCTTCTATCTTCTATATATATAAAAGGCAAAGTGTCCCCTCGGGAGTTTGACCAGGAAACCGGGAGTTCAATTGCTCACTATGACGTGTGCTGACCACCAGGGAGCAGCCAGAAGGTCCTGATCGCAGGCCAGGCCTAGGGACCCCACCCATGCACAAATTTTGTGCACCGGGCCTCTAGTAGGAAATAATGTCACTTTAATGTTTTTTTAAGGGCATGGACTCTTTTGTGTTATATTCTCTGTCATTTATTTTCAACCCAATCTTTCTGCCTTCCCATTCTTCTCCTACCATTTGACTTTGAGAATGTGTAGTTTTAAAAGCAAAATCCATTGTTCTGAAAAGAGAGCAATAAATTATTTGTATTTTCTTGGCCTTAATTTTAATGCAGTAGAAGCAGCTGATAATCTAAGGGCATTATTTCATGTCATCCTATTGAACAACTAATTTAAAGTTATCAAAACTCTTTGTAGATGACAATTATAAAAGATTTGGAATAGGCAAGTGACTATCAAAGGAAATCAAATTAGATGATTATATTTTATATTCTATCCTTCACCATATTTTAGGAAGTTTGGGAGTTTGACCAACTATTTTTACACTTTTAAAGTTTAAAAAACTTGAAACTCTCTTGCCCCAGTGTTCAGAGCTCAGGTACTGATGGACTGTAGACCATGTGGGATATGCCATACTTCCTAAGTATTTATTACCTTCTTCGTGAGATGGGGACCCTTCCTTTGCTCACTCAGTGCCTCCTCTACCTGGACAAAATCATTTTTTCCTTCTCCCTAGGATTCTTGTGGTCTGACGACATCTTGGTTTTGGCAAGGATGGAAAAAAAAATCAGTTATAACACTTTAGCTACATTACAGTTAAAACAGACTTTTGAGGGTAAACCTAAGTGTCTGTCACTTTTCACATAAGTTTTTATACTGAAGATACAAACTGACTTTTATAAAATATGTTTTAAAAATTTAAGAAACATTCAAATTTGGGAACTACTGAACTGTTTTTCTAATTGTGTTAATTATATAAAGTGCACATCTTTAAACAGTATTTGAATCAATGAAAAATTAAGATGACAGGAGACTGTTGCTCAGGACGGAGTGTTTCAAAATTTTCATAGCAGTTAAGGTAAATAATACTGGGGGTTTTCAGATATCTCTAACATTTTGAAAATAATGTTATTCTTCATAAAGTCTATTATTTTTCAAAAATTTTATGGATGATTTGTTTGAAGAGTAAAAGGCAGAGGAATGAAGTATTATTTTTGCTGAAGTTATGTGACTATGGTACGTTTATTCGTGGCAGCAGTGAAATTCCTGTGACATTGCAGCTGAAGGGACCAATTGAAATCACATAGCCGTGGGAGAGCCAGGACAGTCAGAGACCCGAGCAAGGAGAGACGAAGATAGTTAAACTTAGTTTATAAGCCCAGTTCAGAATTTATAGGATGAATTTGGCAAATTCTCTAAAAAAGTAACTGGAGATGCATCTTGAATCTTAAAAATATCTCTGACATATGAATAAAGATTAAATTAATTTGAGAGGAAAAAAGGGTGTTAAGAAAATGCCACTTAGGGACATAATTAATTGCTGACATATTAAAGGGTGATAATAGTGTAAAAAAAAGTCAGATAGAAAGAATTAATGGCAGATTAAGTTCCTCAATTTAGTGATTCCAGAAAGGACTTGGATCATAAATGGATGCAGGCAATTTGGCATTCTGTTATAATCATTTGCCAAGCTAGCATTCTAATACATCTTAGACTACATTCTAATACATCCTAAATGACAATTAAAAAAAAAAATCCTTGTTCTGGAAGGGCATACTTTTCATTAACAGATCACTTGTTCTGATTAATTACCATATCCCTGTGCTTTATACTATAGGCTTTTGCAGTTAGAAATTGCCTATATCTACACCAGCAAAGCACTATTAGCATGGGTTATAACATACTTGGGGACTTGATTATTGGATATTTAAGAGATTCACTTAATTAAAAACTCCTTTTAACTGCCATAATGATTTTAATTACCTAATCTTAATGTTTTCTATTTTGAGTAAAATATATAAAATTTTAGTTGTGCCATGTTTTATACTAAAACCTAGAGGCTCTGTGCACAAATTCGTGCACAGGTGGGGGGGTCCCTCTGCCTGGCCAGGGATCGGGGCCAATCAGGGCCATCTCGCCCAGCTCAGCTGGGTCAGGGGGAGGGACCATGGGAGGTTGGTTGGCTGTGGGAGTGCACTGACCACCAGGAGGCAACTCCTGTGTTGAGCATCTGCCCCCTGGTGGTCAGTGCTCATCATAGCTACTGGTTGTTCGGTTGACCTGTTGTAATGGTCGCTTAGGCTTTTTTATACCAGGATGGATGGATGGATGGATAGATAGATAGATAGATAGATACCACATCAAAAATTAATGGAAAAATTTAAAAATAATACAGATGGTCTGGTAGATTGCAATTCTTGGTATAAACATTCTTTTAAGACATAATTTATATCTAAGGGATAAAATACTATGAATTTAATATGAAAAGGTATAGTATGGTAGTTACACCTGAATCAAAGGTCTAGAGGGAAAATTTGTGGGACTAGAGAAAGAAAATAACCAGAAGTCAGCCCAGCTTAGCTACTAATTTTAATGTAGTTGGAATTTAAAATATATTTTTATGACTGAAATTTTATAATACTAGTGAACCAGTGCACGGGTTTGTGCACATTGAAAGGAAATTAAGAAGAAGGTGGCCGGCAGGGCAGGACTGGGCAAGACGGGCCAGACACGCCCTGGAGCCACCCTCCCTCAGTCCCTCCCCAGCATCTGTGGAGTGAGCAGAGTCCCTCCGGCAGGTGGGGTCCCTCGGCCTGGCCTATGGGGATCAGGCCAAAACCAGCTCTCCGACAACCCCCAAAGGGGTCCCAGGGTAAGAGAGGACACTCTGCAAAGTTGCTGCCGTACAGGGTGTGGAACGCAAATGCAACTATGCAGTAAACCAGATTCGCTGCTGACAGTGCCCCAGCAACAACATAACCCATGGCCAAAGGTAGAATCATGCAGCCCCACAAGGAATCGGGCTCCCTCCTCTCTGGTTTTGGGGTACGTCACCCTAGAACTGCCGCTGCCAAGCTGCTGCAGCTCGGCAGCTCCTGTGTTGAGCTTCTGCCCCCTGGTGGTCAGTGCGAGTAATAGCAACTGGTCGGCCAGTTGGACACTTAGCATATTAGCCTTTTATATATATAGATTTGACTCATGAAAGACAAAAAAGAAATAATTTAAATTAAAAGAGACTAAAAAAGAATGATAACTAAGTGCCATGTGTGATCATTGATTCAGGTTCTAAATTAAAAAAAATTTTTTTAAACATAAGGAATATTACTGGGACAATCAGGGAAATTTGAGTATACATTGTACAGCAGATACTGTTATACGCATATTAAACTTCTTGGGTATGATAATAAAATATGGTCAGGTATTTTTTCTGCTTAGAAGATACTAAAATATGTAGGGATGATGTCATGTGGTCTGCAATATACTTTTTAAATTTTTTTAAAAAATTTCATTGTTTAAAGCAGTGGTGGTTCATAAGGTGCAAAAGGTTGGCGACCCCTGGTTTAAAGTATTACCTATGTCTCCTTTTTCCCCGATTGACTTTCCACTCCACCCCGGCCACCCCACACCCCAGGACAAGCCCCCACCGCCCCAGTGTCTGTGTCCATTTGTTATGCTAAAATTGCATACAAGAAGTCCTTTGGTTGTTCTCTAACCACCCCCCCACCTCCCCTGCCATTTGTCTCTGGATCTATTTTCGTTCATCAAATTATGTTGATCATTATATCCCACATATGAGTGAG